AATCACATAACGTTTAGAATGTTAACTTAAGCTAAATATGACTGAAAACCTCGAATTTCATAATGTCAACAAGTTGGAAATAAAATAAAACTAATAAGCTTAAAGAGGAATAAAGCAAAGATGGAAGGGTTGTAAACAGTCATTGCAAAACAGAAAATCATTAACTTTAACATTAAAATTATTTAAAATAAAATAGAAAACTTGAAAAAAGCTTGAAGCTACATGATCGTCAGAATACTTTCTGCTACAGGGAGTTGACATTTCAAATTTGCCCGGAAAATACAAAGTCTGTTGTCTTTTAAAATCTTACCGTTCTCAATTTATCGTTCAAGTAGGCGTCCCAGCTCATTTTAGTCGAACTATATACTGCTTAACCTTTCAAAACGATGGATTTTTCCAGGAATTTCGTCTACATTTAGAATTTTCGCAATCAAATCAAGACAAAATGGTGGACTCATTACCAGTCTTCACGGTCTWCATGACGTCAATGTTTATTTTGGAGATGATACCACAGGGACCCCAGTAAATAAAAAATGTTTAAAAAAATCATTATTATTTATTTTTTTAGGTTATTGAAAAGGCAAATTATGTGTTTTTAGAGACTAATCATATAGTCAGTATTATGAGATAAAAATAAATTTGAAAATAAAAGATAGAAACTTAATAAAATCAAATCCAATAAGCGATATGAGATTACTATTTTCAATTTTGTATTACAAAATCATTTTCTTTATACTTTTAGCTTTTCAAAGTTTATATAAGGGTGACTAACGATCATCATTTTCAAAATGAGATATATGACGTAATGTTTCTCCATATGATATGACGTCATGTCTCATTCCCAGTCCTTTATATTGCGTATACACACTCAGCAGATTCAAAACAAAATGGCTGCTGCGAAGATGAAAGACCCTCAGGAAAAGGTAAGAAAATATCTYTTTCTTCTACTCTTTGACCAGTTCAACTGAATCAAAATGATTTCCATGTTGTAGGTCGTTTATAGTCAAGATGGAGTGTTTGTCCATACATCGGTACCATCGCATGTCGCTAATATAATACCCGGYCGWGTCTGTTTGGTTGAGAAGGTACGKTTTRAAACGATCATATTTTGATTTTAACACTATTAGAAWTGYGGGTTTATAGATATATAAAGTTGCAAGAAATCTCCTTTGTTAACGATGTTAGTGGGAAAAGTGATTATTTTTGTAAGGGAAAAATGAAAAACACATTTGATATCGATTTCATCAGTATTAACTTAACTTAACTTACATGAAGATTGCTAGCTGCCTACCTGATCAAAAATTAAAATTYATCTYATTTATCTTACTGCACAACTATTTCTTTAGAAGCACCAATGTAGATCATGCTAATTTACCGCTAGTTTCCACCATTTTGATTATGAATAGATTGCAATAGTATTTATCACCTTACGTGATTATAATATTTGTTTGTTAGGATAACAATACTTTTGTTGATTGGTCACCGTGCCAGTTTGATGCTGATAATTATGAACTACAAACCAGTGACTGTGCTGARTGGGATCTCATTACACAAAATAAGCAATCAGGTCTGTAWT